AATGAATAAAATATTTGGTGAAATGCCAGATACATTAATTAATCTGTTTTAATCATTTGGCAGGCTTTATACATCTATAACCCCCGTAGGGATTTCCCCCCCCCTCTTTTTAACCTTTGGGCAAGGACACATGCTTTTTTTGTTTTGTTTTGTTTAAATGCTACATTCTTTGTACTGGCACCAAGCCCCTGAAAGTACATCAAAAGCTTTCAAATACAAATCATTAAGATGCCATTCAGGCAACTTCAAACAATGAGCCTGGCTCCAGACAACTCCTCCTTAAACCCTTTGAGTGAAAGAAACCATTCCTGTGACATCAAGATGATCTTCCAAAACTGACATTTCAGAAAGACCTGGTACTGTCTCACGCACCTTTCAGCAAAGGGATGAATCTGCCCTTTCAACGTAAGACAATTAACTCCCATGAGAAATGGTTTGTGTAGGATTGGAGTAAAAAAAAAAAGCTTGGTATACACAGGAGGATCTCTCAGGACAAGTACCTGAACTTATGCCCTCAACACAGGTACCCAAGAAGAGGGCAGTCGCTGCAGGAGGCCTTTTCATTTAGCAAAAGAAGTGACACAGTTGGCATGCTTATGAAATTGCAATATATAAATAGCTTTGTTTTAATTAAAAACAATAATGAACAATATAAATAATTTTCAACCAGCAAATGTCTACCTCTCAAACAGATTTTTTTTTTTTTTACTTCATTTGGGAAAAATCAGGGTGAGGTGGGAGGAAAGACCTCACATCATAAAACAAATGTCAATTTTAAAATAATCCCCATTATCTACAATTACTTTATCTCACACGTTACCAGCTGGGTTTACCTAAACTTTTCAACCTGAAAATTTCTTCTGGGCAATCAAAAGAGAAAACTTATTCCACTGATGCTCTGAGCCCACTAAGAACCATCTGCAGGATATAGAATTTGACTCTTCCAACTATTGGAAGAAAGAATATGGGATGCTGGTCTATTTCTCCAGGAATCCCTGTTAATTTATTGCATTAGATACAGAGGAATATTTGTCACCTGTTGAGAGATAAGATGCATCTGATAGTCTGGTTGGCTCCTCCTAGGAGCTTCAGAAATGGTTTGGGGGAGATGGGGAAGATGGATACAGACAAAAAGTATTGGTCCAGATCTGTCTCTTGTACAATTTATTTCTCATTTCTTGAAGGCTTTAAAGCAGCGGTCCCCAAACTTTGAGGCTTGGTTTCCTAGTTGGGGAGGGGGAAGAGGGGAACTGGGCCAGGTGAGTGGTGTGCCAGCACGTGTGAATGCATGTCTGTGAGCACAGGCAGCCATTGTGTGAGTTGCGGGCTGGCATGCACATGTGCAGCTTGACTTACACAAGAGACGGGCCAGTGCACATACATGCGAGTACCCGCCAGTCTGCCGTTTGCACAAGTTGAATTGTACATGCGCACAAACTCTGGCCAGCCACTCTTGTAGCCCAATTATGAATGGGCCATAGTCCGGGCCTCCACTTTAAAATAACTAGTGGATAAAGAAAGGAAGGAAGGAAGGAAGGGTAGAAGGAAAGAAGGAAAGCAGGAAAGAAGAAAAAAAATGTTGTAGGAGTGTTTTAACTTAAACAGAGGTTAAGGAAAAAGAATTAAACTTTACACCCTGAAAAACACTTTTTAGTGGTTTAGATTATTGGCTCATTTCAGTTTCAATGCCATGTAAACAAGACTGTCATATTTATTCTTTGTGCATTACTGTATAAAAGTTTATTACAGGTAATCTCTAAGCTTTTTGTTGCAACCACTAATTGTACCCAGAAAGGGAATTGGATTAGTTTGGCAAACAATAGCTTATCTTCTCCTCTTTCTGACTAGCATGCTTCTTATTTTGAATCAAGGGTCGCATCTTCAAGAAAGTGAATGGCTGCAGGTTACTTTTGGCACACCTAACCAGAAAGGCTTCTCAATCACCAGGACAAAACGTTTGTTTTCTTTTACAAAATATTGGATATAAAACATCAAAGTTGAAATTTTCTTAATACAATTTACTCTTATTGATTGTAAGAAAATTGGTTAACTCCTCAATCTTACTTATGAATTTACTCCCCTAGCAGTGCTGATTTAGGAGTACCACTTGAATCATGAGTCATTTGACTAAATTGGCTACTCAATATAGTGGTGATATTATAATTGGCTGAAAAACAAAACAAAGAGCAACTTTGCAATTAGATTTAAAAGGAAGACAATTTGATGAGAAGAATTACGTGCAAAATTCCCAGTATGTGAATTGTCAGTAGTTCATATTCTTTTATTTGTTCTCTCTCTCTCTCTCTCTCTCTCTCTCTCTCTCATGTATTCTCACAGATTGATAACACATTAATTTCATTGTACTCTATAATAATTGTCCCCAATATGTTTTGCCCAATTTTCCAATATTGACCAAATTGCTGATATTCTAGCTCCTCTTCCTCCTTTTTTTTTTTACAGAAATTTGAGATTATTAAAGAGCTAATTTAGACATATTTTCAAAATTCAACTTTCTGACATAGCTTATAATTTTGCCCTCAGTTTCATGAGATGGTTGCTGTTATGTCCTGAGCCTTGCAAACGGGCTCGGGGCGTTTGCAGGCGGTCCCGGGCAGGTGCAAGCTGCCTGGGACCAGACAGGCTGTCGCCAGTGCCTGTGCGCATGCGCAGGTGCTGGCGCGCGAAAAGTAACACATTGACCCGGGGAAGGCCTATATAAGAGGCCGGGAGTTTTGGGCATTGCCGGAGCATTCAATCTGTAAACTGAATGAAGAATAAAGCAAATCTGAGAACTACAACTGCTTCTCGTGTCTTGCCATTTCGCGAGGGACGCAACACTGGCGACGAGGATGGGATGCCTTACATCAACAGAAAAGAAAGAGGTGTAAGCTTACCCAAGTGAGTCCTGAGCGGCGGAGCGGCGTTGACTCGGCAGCTACCTGCCAATCCAGTGCGCATTCGGGGGTAGGCTGTCTGATAGACCCAAAATGGCAAAAATTGGAAGGCAGCAAGGCATGATAAGGGGAACAGGCACACATCACCCCTCGGTCAGGGGGCACCTGCCAGACACCCAGAGCTTAGGAGGTCACAGAGAGCAAGGAAATCTCCTAAGTACTTAGAGGATTACATAACATTGCTGGCTAAACAGAGCCAGTAGAAGGGTAGGAGCACGGGGGAGTAGAGCACTGCATCAAGAAAAAGGGTTGTATGTTGGTGGTAGTTTTAGCCCGGGGGAAAGGGGTGTTATGTCCTGAGCCTTGCAAACGGGCTCGGGGCGTTTGCAGGCGGTCCCGGGCAGGTGCAAGCTGCCCGGGACCAGACAGGCTGTCGCCAGCGCCTGTGCGCATGCGCGGGTGCTGGCGCGCGAAAAGTAACACATTGACCCGGGGAAGGCCTATATAAGAGGCCAGGAGTTTTGGGCATTGCCGGAGCATTCAATCTGTAAGCTGAATGAAGAATAAAGCAAATCTGAGAACTACAACTGCTTCTCGTGTCTTGCCATTTCGCGAGGGACGCAACAGTTGCCCAAGCCTTTTTCATCACCATTTTTTGAAACTGAGATGCTAAATTCTGAACCTCAGAAGATGTTTGGGCTTGGAATAATTTCAAGTGTCAACATCTAGTCTTTCAAGCTCAGGATTAATGCATGAAAGGCTCAAAATAGCCTTTCAAATAGCTCAGGATTAAAAAGAAAACTTGTCAGAAAGATTTGTTGTTCAATTAACAGAATCAAATTTCACTTATTTATTCATGCATGTCTGCTTTCCTGATCTGCACTGAACCCTTAGACTGAGGTGAATTCTAAATCTAAATAAATGTTTTACTATTGTTGTTTTGCAAATGGAAACATCCCATTATATCCTCACAATACTAATGTGGTTTAAACAGCAGAGGCTGACTGAAGATCAACTACAAAATACCACAGCCTCTCATTTCAACATTTAGCTAGTATACTACACTGGCTCCTCCCTAACCTATGTCTTCCATATATCAACTACAAAAATGCAGAGGATCACTGGATAGTAGCAAAGATGCACAAAACTCTTAACTTTGAAAGACTCCACATTTCTTAAGTCTTGTGTATCCATTTTTTATATAACTTCATTTAAGTAGTAGCTCACAGTTTCCCACCATGTTACCAAAAGGCAATCAATACTATCATTCTCCCAAATGATTGATGTCATTATATGTTCCCATGCTGGCTGCAAGTTCTCACTGGCCCTGCGCTATCTGCTACTGGCTATTTGCATAATCTAATCACATCGGTTGTGTGATCTCCTGTGACTTCTTGGAAGTAACAAAAGTGAATTCCATTTGGAATTGCATATAAATGTAAATTTGGTATAATGATAAGGTAAAGTAAAAATTGCTTTTGGCTAGCCAGTCTCATCAATTACAATAACAATATAGATTTGCCCATGTTTTTATTGAACACATTCATCATTTTTTTAAATAAAATGGAATAATAAATAGGAACCAGTGACAGTGGCAGAACCACTTGATTCAGTTTAAAAGGTAGTATTGTATAGTGGTCTTCTATGAAAAATCATGGTGCAACTTTGTGGTAGTCACACCATCACAGACCAGCCTACCTCGTTGGATTATGAGAATAAAATGAAGGGACATTCCCATGTAAATCATCTTGACCTTTTTTTTCTGTTTCTCTGTCATTATTTTAAGAGCAATAACAGAATAAATTTTAAAAATTCACTTGTCACTTTTTGATTGGCAAAACAATATTGTCAGGGGCAAAGAATTATGACCATTCATAAAGTTGCAGCATATAAGATTTATTCAAACCTATATATAATAATCTGGTCAACTAAAGTTCAGTACTAAATTGGCGCCAGATAAGGGTAGATGGAATTCAGGAGGGGTTGAACTTGGACTGCTTGTAGGAACACAGTGACTCTAAACTGATGACATCCTTAACTCTGTCTCCAGCTCTGCCTGCTCTTTTCCTACACCATTCTCCAACTTCTATTACTTTTGGCTTCATCTGGGACCTCTCATCAACATTCCACATAGGGAAAGGAAAGTCACTTTAGAGTAGAATAAATAACTAGATGAGAATAAGAATAACTAGAAACTGCTACTACATAGAGCAGACTGGGTATTTCAAGATGTTTTCTTTAGATCTCATAATTTTTTAAGATCAGTTTTTCCTGGCATTTTAAGGGAATTTGGAAAGTGATGAGACAGCCATTGTCCAACATGTTATACATTTGTTAGTCTAATATATTTTTACTATCTCATATCCTTTCCCACGTCCAGTTTGATCCTAAAACTGATCAAACAAAAAAAAATACAGTAATTTAAAACAGATGACAATTTTGCATGGCATTGAAAAGATGCACAAAGTAGGCTTCTTTAACGGTGTCATTCTTTTTTTAAAATAACTAATAAAAACAGGTGAATGGGGCCTTTAATGGATGAAGAAGTAAGATGAGTTCCTTCCGGTATCAGGATTCCAAACAATTTGAGACTTCCAGGTAAGTTCCAGCACTTTGATTTGGGGCTAGAAGTAAACAGCCAGTACAGTTGTTTCAAAATTGAGGTTCTTAGGCACACATCTGACTTTTTATTTGTTTGTTTACTATTTATATTTATATCTTGGCTTTCATTCAGGAGCTCAAGGCAATGAGCCTCTTTGTTTGGGCTCCACCCATACTTCAGAAGACAGTTTCAGAAATGTTACTCGAAGATCCAATGTGCTTCTCAGTCTGAAAAAAGTCATATGACAGTAGCAGTTAGACTTATATGCCACTTCATGGTGCTTTACAGTCCTCTCTAGGCAGTTTACAGAGTCAACATGTCACCCCCAACAATCTGGGTCCTCATTTTAACCATCTCGGAAGGATGGAAGGCTGAGTCAACCTTGAGCTAGTCAGGATCGAATTCCTGGCAGTGAGCAGAGTCAGACTCCAATACTGCATTCTAACCACTGCACCACCAGGGCTCTTAGCTTTTACCTTACCTTTTGCAGATTTCAAATCCCCCTTTATTCCCCAGAACACAGATTGAAATTGTGCAAGTTCTTCTTACTAAAGAAATAACTTTAGTTGCTTATACACATGAACAATTTGTCCTCTTGTGCCAAATTATCAGCAGCAGGAGGAGGAATGAGAAAATAAACAGTGTTTTAAAGCACCTGGATACTGCTCTTGGCTGTACATCTCATTTATCTTGCTTTCCTTTCCTCATTGTAGCATTCTGCTGTTATCTTCAGTGGTTTAAGAGGTGGGGACAGCAGTTACCTTTTCAGATTGGTTATCTTCTTCCAGTTGTTTTTTTGTCTCATGGTGAAACTCTGGTTAGCTGCTTGACAACTTTGCTTACAACAGACAGCTCCCCTCCCACGCTTCTTTGGTGGCTGTGATTCAGATTGGAGGTGAGATTAAAAGAATCCCATTGAAACATCCCAGGTCCCTTTGACTGAAAAACATTAAATCTTCTGGATTAATCATTCAGCAGGTATATGACAAACACAAAGATGTCAGGCTGAAATAACATGCCAGGATTTTAAAAAGAAAGAAGAGGGAGGAAGAAAGGCTCCATTCCATCCACTATCCAACATCAACAACCCAAAAAAAAAATAAAAATGTGCCAACTTATTTTTTTTAAAAAAAATAAAGTTTGTCAGGTGGGTAAGATAATATTCGTTTCCAGCATGCATTACATGTTTGTTCTCTACACTGCTACATGTGGCAACAGTGTTAAATGTGGTCCCACGGTCAAAAATTAAAAATTTAGCAACAGGTAGCTGTTGAAATTGTGAGTGCAGACCTATCTGTACCAACTTTCATGTGCACATTTTACTGTGCACATTTTTATTTAGTAGGTGTATCATTTTTTTTTTCTAAATTCTCTCTTGATCTCTGTTTCATACTGTAGAAACTATTCAGGAGTATAATAAAAAGTGGTATGAAGGGCATCTTCAGAAAACAGATGTTCTGTATTTGTGCTGAGATTTCATAGAATCATAGAGAAAGACGAAATTACAGGGAGTTCTTGACTTACAACAATTCATTTAGTGACCATTTGAAGTTACAACAGCACTGAAAAAAGTGACTTATGACTGTTGTTCACACTTATGACCATTGTAGCTTCCCCTATGGTCACGTGATTCAGATGCAACTGGTTCATATTTATGACGTGTTCCGGGGTGATGTGATCAGCTTTTGTGACCTTCTGACAAGCAAAGTCAACAGAAAAGCCAGGTTCACTTAACAACCATGTTACTCATTTAACAATGGCAGTGATTCACTCAACAAGAAAAGTCATAAAATGGGACAAAACTCACTTAACAGATGTCTCGTTTTAGCAACATTAATTTTGGGCTCAATTGTGGTCGTAAGTCAGGGACTACCTGTATAGAAGCCATCTACTTTAACTGCTTCCTCTGTGCAGGATCCACTAGGTCATCACTGACAAATACCCATCCAGTCCCTGTTTGACAACTTTCTGTGAAGAATGCTGTGGTAGCCTCTTCCACGTGCAGCCAGGCAGTAACTCTGGAAGTCTAGCCTGAAACTTACTTCTTTATAGATTTTACCAAATGATTCTGGTCTTACCTTTTGAGGCAACGGAGAATAAGTTCTATGAGACATCTCCTCAGGTATCCAAAGTCTTTTATCCTATCTCCCTTCAGTCATCTTTTCTGTAGACTAAACATACCCATATCCTTTTATTGTTCCTCATAGGTGTTGGTTTCCAGATCCTTCATCACTTGGTAGGCGTCCTTTGAATTTGCTCCAATGTTCAGATGCTATCACATGGGTAGTATATAATACAAGATCCAAAGAATCCATGCAGTAGAAAATATAAAATTATCATCAGTCTTAATCAGTAAAACCAACCATGACAATAACCTGTTTGTTAATTTCATTATTTTTCTATGTCACTGTTCTCCAAAAAGTATCGTTGCCAATTCATAGTAATAATCATAAAAACACAGCAAACCATAAGTAAGTAAGTCAACAGTACAACAGTTAAGTAATATCAAGTAAATAACACTGATACCCAATTCAGTGGCAATAACTACAAATTCAAGGCTATTCAAAACAGCTCTATTTTAACAGCGTCCCTAATGGAGGCTTAATGGTACACACTAATTAACCTCATTGGGGAGGCAACCTCTTAGTTGCAATGGAGAAACGAAAGATGTATAGTTCAGGCTATTCTCCTTGAAAGTCTTGAAGGAAGCTGGGATCGAAGCCATGAAATATAGGCAAAACTATCAGTATAAATTGTTGCCAGAACAGAACTATCAGAAGTCAGTGCAGCATTCACAAACCTAGTGCCATGTGTCTATAGTCTCCACCTGCTATAAGAATGACAACTATTATCATTTTGAAGTGGTCTTCAAAGGCAGCCCCATATATACTGCAATAGTCCAGCTTAGACATGAAAAGATTATGTCAACCTTCTCAGGAAGGAATGACAGAAGAGCAAGTTCTGCTTTATTGTAAGGCTACATTAACAGAAGCTTGCAGGTCTGGTAATACAAATCTCCCTTGTCTCCTTTACAGCCTCAGAGTCTTCTTCTTTTTCTCTGTCCATTAGGCAGTTGTAGGCTATGCCCTCTCCTATCTGATGGTTCCTTAGGCAGCAACTTTCAACCCCATTCATTTCCCCATAGCCATATACAGTAAGTACCATTGGTAGGGCTTCTCACTCCATATTATACCCTACAAAAAATGAGGATAATTCTGAATGAAGAGCTAAGAACTGAGTAAGTATTAGAGCAGACCAAACTTGGTCCCTTCAGGTGCAGAAGGAAGGGCATCCTAGAAAATTCACTTATCTGTAGATTTCAACTGCTGCTTATATTCTTACATCTGTAATCCTCCCTACTCTATAGGAAAACTAACTAATTCTTTCTTTCATTTTTGATGTGTCCTTCTAACATGGTTCCATCATGTCAGTAGTCTTAATTGATACCGATTCCATCATTGGGCTGCCTAGAAATTGTGGAAGAGCCATCACAAGCATCAGAGACATGAAAACTCTCCTGATGAAGGACTTACCAATTCCTTGCTTCTGAAATGGTAGATTGAGTCCAATTATCTATTGTATTGGTCCAAAGATTTTCATACCTTTGAAATGCTATTCTAAGCATCTCTATCTAGAGGGATATAGTTTGTATCTACATTTAGATGCAGACAAATATCTTGTGGCTTAGAATTTCAGTTAAAACACTCTCTCACATACACAAACAGGAATTGCCATCTTGTGTTTTTAGGTCATAAAAATGCCAGCAGAACCTATAGATGTGTGATGTTACTGGGAGGTCATACAGCAGACATATTGAAGGAGGCAAAGCATCACTGCCTAAATGTCAAAATTCAGCAAAGGAAAGTGACTTTAAGAAGTTGTTACTGTCAAACAAAATCCTGTGGAACTAGGCTCCTCATTGTTTTTATGACCCTCATATAAGACATATTCATGTGCATTTTATATGTATGTGCCAAGGGTGAGTGGGTGGGTGGATGGATGATAGATAGAAATAGTCTTTGTAGGAAAGCATCCAGGAGATGACAAAAGTAGCATGTTTTTTTAAGCAACTGAGCATTAAAGTAGAAGATTCTCTGTCAAGTTCATTCTTGCAGTAATAATGACAGTGGCTTCTTCATTTTAGGTTTGCATTTGGCTACAGTCCCTCTTCTTTCATTTAGATAATTATCTACACATGTACCATCCTCTGAGTGGGGAGAGGAGAGAGAGAGAGAAAAAAAAGAGAGAGAGAGAAGTTCCATAAATTTCGTGGGCAGTTAATCACTGCTGTACTACTTAACAGATAAACAGGCAAATAAGCTCTCCTGACTCAACTGATCTAATGTGCCAAATCCTCCATTGAGAAAGGTGCCATTAGGCAGTCTTTGAATTATATGAAGTGATTCTTAATTCCTTTTGTTTCTTATTTGCTATCGGCTATACCAGTACCAATGATCTTTCTGATTTTGTGAAAATCTTTGTTTCTTTGCATTTGTCTGATTCAAAGGGTTTGTCTTTGCATTTGTTTGATGATATAGAGCAGGGGTCTTCAAACGTGGCCCTTTTATGAATTGTGGACTTCAACTCCCAGAATTCTTCAGCCAGTGTGACTGGCTGAGGAATTCTGGGAGTTGAAGTCCACAGTCATAAAAGGGCCACATTTGAAGACCCCTGGTATGGAGTTTCCTGCCTGATCAGGGGGTTGGACTAGATGGCCTCCAATGTCCTTTCCTAACTCTATTATCCTGTTATTCTATTATGGGCTGGAAGAGGATTTGGAACTATTGCCAGTTAGGTGAAGTTTAAAGATACTGGGGGATAGGACAATACTGGGACATACTTTAGACAAGGGATCCTTTGAAAAAAGAGGGAAGGAATCAGATGTTCACATTGTGCAAAGATATAGAGCCAGAAATACATGAACCAATCCCCTCAACAACCTCCTATAGGACTAAGGTAGAAAAGCCAAAGGGCATATTTCTGCAGGGATGAAGCAAGCAGTAGGTGTAGCTGAAATTCAAGCTGGGTGGAGATGTCCACTCTCTCTTTCTGTTCTAATTAGTCTGCTACATGGAAGGGATTGACCCGGTCACCAAAAGCCAAAAACTACTTTCTGACATACATTTTGGATGAGCCATTCTAACTTCCACTTCAGAGATTTGTTTGTTCCTCTGCCTACCAAATGTCAGGTGATTTTTCATTTGTAGGGTGAAAATGCTAGGATTAAAATGTGAGCAAATCTTCTTCATCATCCTTTATTTCCATGGTGTACTTCCAACGTAACTGCTACATTCATATTTTCCCATGTGGTTAGAAAAGCCTAGAGAGACTGGGAGTGTTAGGTCTTTTTTAGGGATGAAAGCCAGCTAGGTGACTTTGGGCCAATTACTCTCTCTGCTATGCTGATATATTATAACATCCTGGATTCTTTGAACGAATTTGATATGTATGAAGGCCAACACCACCTAAAGAACTGGAAGCTTAATTTCACATTGTTTTATATACAGTAAAGCAAAGATAATACCAATAGTAAATAAGTACCTTAGATGCAATCATAAAATATCTGGAGTATCACTTGAACACCATTGGCATTGACAAAATCACCAGTCGGTCAATTGCAAAAGACAGCTTTCCTTGGAAAGCTTAACTCCTCCGACAATAACTTTAATATTATTAAACAACCATCTCTGCCTATCTCAGGCCCTTGGGAATGACTCGGTAGGTGGACAGAAATGCCAAACCTAGGCAATCAATCATAATAATGATAGGATGTCTCTTGTCTCTAAACTGAGTTGGAAGCAAGAAGGAGAACAGGACAGAATATGTATTGAAAGCAACATGCATAATCTTTGGACACTTTTTGTATGAACATTAGCTTTTCCAATGTTTTGTCTGTGTTAAGGACTGAAGAAGAGGGCTGTATGAAAGATGGAAGAAGAGGTGGGGTCACTGAGCGTTTAGTGAGAGATACAAGCAGGTTTAATGACATCATCTTGAAGGACTTCTTTAATTCTACACAAGCATTACATTCAGTTTTAAAGCTCGCTGGCTCAATTGCTGCCTCTCAGTCCAATCTGTTTTACAGTAGTGTGATGTTAAAGTGAGAAAAGACTCCTATATGTATGCCCTGAGCTCCCAGTCAGTTGGGATTGGGCATGAACAATATAAATGCAATAACCAATAAAATA